CTCTGCAGGTTCGCAGTCTCTGCTTTGTGCTCCTTGATTACAACAGAACTTAATCAGGCCAGGTGCTGGTGGCTTGCGCCTGTAATCCTAGCTATTCAGGAGGCTGAGGTCTGAGGATCGGAGTGTAAAACCAGCCCTGGGAAGGCATATCTGTGAGACTCTTTATCTCCAATGAACCACCAAAAAGTCAGAAGTGGAGCTGTGGCTCAAGTAGTAGAGCACTACTAGCCTTGAAGGAAAAAGCTAAGAAAGAGCACCCAGGCCCTGAGTTCAAGCCCCAGGACCGGCACACAAAAGAACTGATCACACAGAGCACAGAGCTTAGCAAGTCTCCAGGCCACGTGGTTAAGGAGAGAGGAGGCTGTCAACACCCACAGCTAGCAGAACATATGGGCTGCTGGGAGCCTGTTTCTGGGGCTCTCCGGGCCAGCGACCCCACGCGGCCACCTCTCTAACAGCCCACAACCCCCTCAGCAAGCAAGAAGCCCAGTGACGTGTCTGACCTCGGCAAGGGTGCTGCCGGTAGTGTTTTTGGAAAGATCGTTGTAAATCTCTGTCATCGTCCCTTTAATCGCATCCATCATCTGAAAGATAAAACCAGAAACAAGGCAGTGACCACCCTGACACTTTCCTAGATGACAGGAATCTACACAACTGGCATGTATCAAACACCCATTCCCCACTTCGGGGGGACCAGGTTTCTCTGGGGCTCTGAGTGATCGTGGGAGGTGGACAGGGGGACAACGCTGGTGTCTCAGGGGAGAGGCCCAGGGCCCAGTGTGGAGAACGGCCCTGCTACAAGCTGATGCCAGCCTGGATGGAGCTACTGCGACAGTGAAGCCCGGGCATAAAGCAAGTCAGGGCCAGGTGCTGGTAGCTCACACCTGTAATCCCAGCTACTCAAGAGGCTGAAATCTGAGCATCAATGATCAAAGCCAGCCCAGGCAGACAAACCTGTGAGACTCTCCAATGAACCAGCAAAAAGCTGGAAGCGGAGGTGTGGCTCAAGTGACAGAGCACCAGCCTTGAACAAAGAAAACCAAGTAAGAGTTCAAGATCCAGCACTAACAAAAGCAAACCACAACAAAGAACAACCATATACTTTTGAATGAGACACAAGGTTCACCACTGCCAGGGCACAACGGAATGGCTTTCCAGGGCCGGCGGTGCGCCTACGCGGTGTGATCACTCAGCACGCACAGTGCCCAGCACCACAGAGAAGCATTCAATGTCTTTCAGGCATGCCTCCAACACCACGACAACTCCAGAACCCTGCCAACACCGCACCAGGAGGCCCATCTCCCTCTTCAGCCTCCCTTCTCCCCCCGCCCCCCGTACTCACGTCCTACCCAGTTCCTCAGCCCCTGACAACAGCAGTTTGCTGGGTCTCTGTGGGTGCATGTTCTGTGCATTTGGATGCCCACACTTAATCTGATCTCAATCGCAGCCTGTGACGTCCTTCCGAAAACAGAGGTGGTGGCTACTGTGATGTCTTGACATTGCGCTCTGCTCTCTAGCTCATTTCCCATTGTGTGTGCATGTGTGTGTGCCACTGACACTGGGGCTTGAACTCGGGGCTTCAACACCGTCCATTAAGCTTCTTTCACCTAAGGCAAGCTCCTCTACCTCTTGAAGCACAGCTCCGAGTCCTCAGATCTCAGCCTCCCAAGTAGCCAGGGCCCTGGTGCCAAACTTCCATCTTCTTTAACCAGCTTTGAGCCCTGAGTCAGCAGCAAGTCAATGGGGGCAGCCACCACAGCCAAGCAGCGGCTGTGAGCTTGGTGGGTGACCATCACTACCCTCCTGGACTCCATCTCAGTCTGCTGGAACAGCCCCGGGTCTCCCCAGTCTTCCAGAACTCTCCATGTCCATGGGAAGACAGAGCACATCTGATCAACACATCTGAATGTCCCATTCCTTCTTGCCAGGTGCTCTCTGTGTGCCTCAGTTTCCCCAGGGAAAGAAGCATAACAGCGCCCTGCTGGGTGAGCTCAGGGATGGAGGAGGAATTCCAGAAGAAAGTCTGTGTGTGTGGATTCTGACAGACTCACCTGAACCCACACAGGCAGTCAGTGCATTGCCAGGCCCCAGAGACTAACCCTGAATTCACCCCAAACCAGTGAACCACACCGGTCCCCGCTGGCCGCGGGGCCTGACAACCACTGCCAGCACAAACACGTGTGTCACACGTAGCCCTCGTCCATCTCTGCAGACCCTCCGGGTCACCATAAAAACCCCGGCACAGAGGTTTACAAGAAAATCTGAGACGGCCAGGGCAATCCGACCAGGGCAGCGCCTGCAGCCCTGTTAAACCCTCATGAAGCCGCACCAACTTTTCCTTCCAAATACAGAATCGAGTTCCACACTAATGAAGGTAGCTCCACTGCCAAAACACACAGGCGCAGGCAGGCTGTACCCCCAAAAGCGCTCCCCAACATGTTAGCATGTTCGTTTATCTAAGTGCAAAGAAAGCATCCATCCAAACCGGGCCTTCTGCATTTACCAGGTAGGCCTCAGCTTACTGATTTGTAAACAAACAGCCTAGACCACATCAATGACAGGGAGAAAGGGGAGTAACTGGAAGCCAAGCTACTTGAGCAATTGTACCTCTTTAAATCAGTAATTAAAAAACAAAATTACCCACCCATTTTCTTACAAGCCTTTTGTGTGTGTGTGCCAGCACTCGGGCTTGAGCTCAGGGCCTGGGTGCCATCCCTTAGCTTTAGCTCAAGGCTGATGTACTACTTTTGGAGCTAAATCTCCACTTCCAGCTTTTTCTAGTTAACTGGAGATAACAATCTCATAGATTTTCCTGCCTGGGCTGGCGTCAAACTGGGATGCTTAGATCTGAGGCTCTTGAGCTGCTAAGATTACAGGCATGAGCACGTGTTCATTTTTATTCCAGGAACTGAACTGAGCCGAGCAAAAGGGGGTCCATGAACCCCTCTCCATTCCTGGAATGACTAAGGCGTGGGCAGCAGGCCAGGCCTCGCTCATAGTGAGTCATTACCACCTTTGCCCACATGGCTTCTTATTGTTTTGGTTGGTTGTGAGCCTGGACGCTGTCCCTCAGCTCTTCAGCTCAAGACTAGCACCCTACCACTTAAGCCATAGCACCACTTCTGGTTTTCTGATGGTTAACTGGAGATAAGAGATTCACGGACTTTCCTGCCCAGGCTGACTTTGAACTACGATCTCAGCCTCCTGAGTAGCTAGGATTATAGATGACCAACAACTTAAACCCTGAAGCGTAATGATAACTCCACTGTTTACACTTGTGCTTTATGGAGGAGGTTTACAATGTTCTACAGTTGTGTTAGGAACCAACTTGAAGTCAGGTGTGGGTGGCTCACACCCATAATCTTAGCTACTCAGGAAGCTGTGATCCAAAGGATTGCAGATCAAGGCCAATTCATGGAGAACAAGTTTGTGAAACTCTATTTCCATAATAAACATCAAAATGCCAGACTTGCAGGGCATCGTGGCTCACGTCTGTCATCCTAGCTACTAAGGAGGGTGAGATCTGAGGATCACAGTTCAAAGTCAGCCCTGGCAAGAAAGTCCATGAGACTTTCTCCAATAAACCACCAGAAAAGCGGAAGTGGCGCTAAGGCTCAAGTGGTAGAGCACTGGCCTTGAGCTGAAGAGCTAAGGGCCCTGAGTTCAAGCCCCAGGATTGACAGAAAAGAATGAAGAAGGAGAAAGGAAGAACATCAACTGGCTCCGGCCTGAGCGGCCCGGCCCGGCCCAGCTTCCCAGGTGCAGGCCCGGCACCCTTCCACTCGCCTTGCTCGTGTACTTGGCGATGTCGGCGGCCACGTCGGCTGAGGCGGTGGCGATGGGGAGGTCGGCGCTGATGGCAGATGCCAGGGTGCTGGAGGAACCCGAGCCGCTAACCAGGGACGAGGGCTGTGTACTGGTCACCAGGGTGATGGTGGACGTGGACGGGCTCTGGGTGACTTCCTTCTGCTGCACAGCTAGGAAGGCAAAGGGTCCTGGTTACCCCGGCCGTGTGGGAAGGGCCTGTCCCCCTGCACGAAGCCGGGGCGAGGATGTGAACCCCACGGCTGTTACCCACGAGTCAGGATCCCACCTGGGACCTGGACCCACAGCCAGGTGCTCTGCACTCGCTTCTCAGCCAGGCCTCAACCTTAACGCTACGAGCACTCGAAAGGACACAACCGTCACTATGAGCTAATGGCCACGTGGCGGGGGACCCCTGCCCCCTCCCCCGAAAAACACGCCTGAGAAAAAACTGCCTGCAGCCCATGAGGAAGATGGACCCAACTTTTGGTTTCTCAGGAAGACGGGCATCTTACCTTAAACCAAACACATTAGTGAGCCCGCACGGGCCACACACGGACAGATCCCCGCTCCTCTGCTTTCTGAGCTGTTTGTTTTCTCTCTCTACTGAGCCCCTCCGCCCTCTGCACTCCCTCAGGCTACCTGCCGGGTCTGCACCAATCAAGGCTCACACTCAGGGGCTGGTGCTGTCCCTAAGCTTCTTCCCTCAAGGTGAACCCTGTCCCCACTTGAGCCTCTACTTCACGCTTTTCAGTGGTTAATTGGAGAGAAGAGTCTCATAGACTTTCCTGTCCAGGCTGGGTTCAAACCACCATCCTCAGATCTCAGCCTCCTGAGAAGCTAGGATTCCAGGCATGAGCCACCAGCATCTGGCTCTGGAAGGCAACTTTCCTGCCCCCTGCTCACTTCCCCCAAGCCACAGCAAGAGGCCCACGCACGTGCACAAGGAAATTTACACTTATGGCAGCAAAACAATAAGTTAATTTAAAAAAAAAACACAGAAGCAGCTAAATGCCCACCAATCAGTGAGAGAATACTTTCATCAACTACAGAATACTACGCAGCCGTCGGAAAGAAGGCCAGGCCGGGTGCACCGACACACACATCTCCAACACATGCTTGAGGGGTGGGTGAGGGGATGAGATGGGGAAGCAAGAATGGCACCATTTCTATGCTTTAGAACGAGGAAGAAATAAAGAGAAGGGAGGGATGGACTGTCTGATGAAGTCACATATATATGTGTAAATATATATATATGCACACATGCATGGAGAAGCAGTTCCCGGCAGCGGGTGGAGAGGGGATGGGATGGAAGGCGGATGAGTAGACGTGGTGTGTCTTAGAGATGGCACGCCCCCATTCACGACATGGAAAGGGGCAGATGGCACATGGATGTTTAACAATACAGGCCGGGGGGGGCGGCGATCTGCAGGCGTGCAGGACACGGGGTGGGGCCGGCCGAGGTCCTGCGCGGCGGGCGGCGGCCGTACCTTTCACGGCCTGTCTGGTCTGATATCGGGTCCCTTGCGCGGGCTGCGGCGGCGGTGGCGGCGGCGGCGGCTGACGCTGCATCTTCTGAATGTGCCACTTTGGGGAGGACGTTTGAAACTTACTTGAGGCGTTCCACACGACCCGCTGCACGGCCGGGGCAGTCTCCTTCGGCAACAGGGGCCTCTGCTTTTTCACCGGGCTTCCTGTGATGGCCGTGGTGGCAGGCGCTGGGACTGTGACAGTGGATGTGCTGTTGCTGTTGCTGCTGCTGCTGCTGCTATTGCTGGTGCTGCTGGTGCTGCTGCTGCTGCTGCTGGTGGTGGTGCTGGCGGGGACCCCAGCCGCGGGGGCCTGGGTGGCAGAGCGGGTGAGCACTGGCGTATCGGGGGGAGACTGGCTGCCTGCCGCCGTGGATGGGGGTGCTTTCCCCACAGCTGCAGCCCGGGGAAAACAAACACAAAGTCACGGGACTCGGTTCACCTGTGACAAGGCCAGGCAGGCAAGTCTGGGGTTAAAAACCACCTAACCTCTGTACATCATCTTTATCACAACAATACAAAAAATGTAAAGCCAGGCCAGGTGGCACCCGCTTGTAATCCTAGCGACTCAAGGAGGCTGAGATCTGAGCATTGAGGTTCAGAGCCAGCCTGTGCAGAAAGGTCCCTTTGAGACTCTTATCTCCAATAAAGCACTCAAAAACCACAAGTGGCGCTGTGGCTCACGTGGCAGAAGGTGAGCCTTGAGCTAAAGAGCTCAGGGACAGCACCCAGACCTTGGCTTCAAATCCCAGGCCTGGCCAAAAAGAAAATCAAAAATAAGCAAATAAACAGAAGTTATAACTTTTAATGTTTAAAACCAAAAAACCAGCCAAGGCAGGGACTCAGGAGGTCCACACACAGCCCACCTTGCAAGGAAGTGAGATCTTCCTACATTTCATGTCTACACTCAGGCAACTCCCAGGTCACAAGCAAGGTGGGAGTGTGGGGCGGGGGCTAAAAGAGATCCAGCCCCCACCCTCATGGGCCACCAACCAGAGGGGGAGCCCAGAGCAATCAGGACCAATCAGAGCCAGCCAGAAGACAAAGCCAAAGACAGAGCCCAGGAATGGGGGCCTCCCAAAGGCCCAAGGAACCACCTCCCAGAAAGCAAAGGGTCTCTCCGGCCTTTCCAGATCCCTCACAGTAGGGTCTGAGGAGACTCCTGGGAGCTAGACTCCAACTCCAAAATCAGCCCCAGGGCCCAACAAAAGTCACCGCCAAGGACAGAGCCGGGCTTCAAGTTTCTGTTGCACAGTTCCTGTCCGTGTCTTTTTTTGGCCAGGGGAAGGGGCATGCTGTTTCCTTGGGGGTCCTCAGGGCCTTATGCTTGCCAGGCAGGTACTCTATGGCTCCAGACTCATCTTCAGCTTGTCAAATATCTGGGGGCACAGTGGTAAACATTCTTCCACGAAGCTTCCACATTCTCAACATTTCACTACTTTGCTCTTGCTGGGTGCCCAGTGGCTCACACCTATCATCTTAGCTACAGAGGAGGCTGAGATCTGAAGATCAGTTAGCAGCCAGCCCGGGCAGGAAAGCCTGTGAGATTCTTATCTCCAATGAACGACCACAAAGTCAGAAGTGGAACAAATGGCAAGTGTGTGTGTGTGTGTGTGTGTGTGTGTGTGTGTGGCGGGGGGTGGGGGAGTGGGGAAAGCTTAAGGAACCTAGGTACTGGTGGCTCATGCTACTCAGGAGGCTGCAAATCTGAGGATCGCAGTTCAAAGCCAACCCAGGCAGGAAAGTCCATGAGACACTTATCTCCAATTAACCACCAAAAAGCTAGGAGTAGAGCTGTGGCTCAAGTGGTAGAATGCTAGGCTTGAGCAAAGAGAGGGAAGCCCTGAGTTCTCGCCCCAGGACCAGTACCCCACCCCCAAAAATAAAAGGTTTTTAAAGTAAGTCAAGAAGTTTCAGTTTTTGCCTACATGGCTAGGAAGCTCAGAGCCCAAATGGAAACTCAGCTTTGTTAACTGAACATGAGAACAGCAGATATTTTCTTTCCTTTTTTCATTTTTTTGGGGTCCGGTCATGGGGCCTGAACTCTGGGCCTGGGCACTGTCCCTCAGCTCTTCAGCTCAAGGCGAGCGCTCTACCACTTGAGCTACAG